ATTTGGGCATGCAACTGCTTTAGTCACCAACCTGAAGCAAGTCATTTTGTGTATTAACTTATTAAGTCATTCATTGAGTCATTTTACAATTGAAGGATTCCCTTGGCATGTAAACTAAAATATTTTAAAATAATATAAATAGTTGAATTATATTGATGTATGCACAATAATGTCATCATTTGTGTACACATAAGCATAACTTATAACTACCTTGATCCTAGCATAAATGCTTAGTGAATCATTTTAGATTTCACCAAGTAGACATACATAGTCATTTAATGTGTTTCATAAACATTAATCGTGTTGTTTTGTTATTGTTTTCTCATTTCCTTTCTTGCTCAAACTTATTCAGTCAAACCTTAATACTTTTTTCAAAAATGGTTGATTAGAGATTGTCAATACACAAAAAATAATTTATTAAGCTGCATACTGTTTCAAGTGATTGCTTTTCTGCTGATCCTGTATACTTTTGAATACCATGAGTTACTTCCTCAGGGGTATAAAACTAACCTAAAAGAGTTTTATGTACATGGCTCTTTGACTCTTACTGTTCTCTTTGGTTTTAAAATACAAAAATTTGTTTGAAAAATGCATAACACATGTACATCCAAACATTTTAAAGAACTATTTGGCCAACCACAGTTGATCATATGGTCATTGGTTTTCTTTCTCACTTACAAAGTTCTAACATATTACTTAATTAATCATCATACATTGTAGTTGTAAAATTTAATCTGAAATTTTAAATGTAGAATGAAGTGTGATATTTTTCAAGGTTTCTAAGTTGTAAATTATTTTAAAAGCTGCTTCATTAATGCAAAATAAAATTCTGCAACAAAATTAACTATAAATCTTCTCTGCAAAATGACTTGAATAAGTAGCTCCATTGTTTTAGGTTGTTAAGCAGCTGCTTCAGGAAATTGTAATCATTTTTGTCAAAATTTTTGCTTTAAGTTTGAAGATTAATATGACTACTGACTAAATGAAACCCTAGTGTTTTTTATTGTTTTTACTAGTTGTTTTAATACTATTTTAAAGAATTAACATCTGCAAAATTTTAACACATTAGAAACATTTCATATTACTATAATTTTTTTAAAATGACAAATATAATGCTGTCTGAACACAAGAGCTTAGAACGAATGTTTGATAATGTTCACAAATGAAATTAAAGATATAATAAATCAATAAAAAGTATTTATACCTTTTTTATGCTGCAGTTAGAAACTTTGCTGTTAAAATTATTTGATAGAACATTTGTGTTTTCAAGAAAAATTATCAACATTTTATGAAGGTTGTTTTTTTTCTTGAAACTGCTGTTTTTTTGGTCATGACTAAGAACGTATTTAGTCAAGTCCTTGAAAACAATGGCTAGCTAAATGTTTGACCTAGTGTATATTTTAGCTAGTTTAAACTTAAATTCTGTTTAAAAAATTGTGTGCCATAGAAAAGTATATTTCTTGTTTTACATATTTAAACTTAATATGTACTGTGTATTTTTATACACTGCAAACAGCCAAGTTTTCATATGTAGTAATAAACATAGATTTTAGATACAGTCTAAGTGCATAAAAATGTGACAATTATTTGTGCATAGAAAGCTGCCCTCTGGTTTTAAACAACTTGATATTTACTATGTTGGGTTATAATCCATTTATTTCATACCAGCAGTGATTGAGTGAGAAATTATTTTTTATTCAATCTATATAAAATGTACAATTACAGTGCTAATAAAAAATTTAAGATTAAAGTCAGTAGTGTGTTATTAAGTGTTTTATTCATGCTCATTTATTTGAATAATACAGACCACATTGATAAAAGGAAAATATTGGAAGATTAATAAACATTTTCAAAACTTGTACAGAAATATAATTAAAAGGAGTTTTTTTACTAGATGTTCTGATTATTACATACATGACTATAAATAAAAAGACAAAAGTTAATAAACATTCAGTACATGAGTCAAAGAATTACACACCTAAATGAATTGTTGGAAGCAGAAAGAAAAAGGCTTTCTGGTGGGTGAAGACAATACAAGGAGAGAATTAAAACCAAAGTATAAATGTGTCTTTGAGAAATAAGACATATATAGTAATATATTGGCCTAAAAATCATTTTGAGTGTTCTAAGTAAATACTGTAAAAATTTGTAAAACATTATAAGGAATTTAACAAATAAAAGGGAGAAAATTGTCCTAGCTTGTTTTGGCTGTTGGTCGTAAATACATCTATAGTTTAGTTTAATTCTCTTCTACCCATCAGTAAGCCTCCTTTAGCTGGAGGAAACTCAAAGAAAGCAACTTTTTTAGGATAATATGAAGTAATGATATTAGGTTGTCAAGAAATCAATGTTGATTTCTTTTAGATGAAAAAACCCAAACAACTTGTATATCAAAACAAAAGATTTATTAAATGAAATAGTCTCCATTCTTATCAATGATGGTTTTCCATCTTACAATCAGGTTAAAGAAATCACTTGGCTTTGAAGCAAAAAGCGTGTCGATGTCCTCTTTAACACCTTACACATTTGCATA